TGGTGGCTGCTGCCACGCCGCTGTCACAGCCTGGGAACGTGAGCTCTACAGAGACCCCAGGCACTGCGGGGGTGTGTGCCCCCTCACCAGCAGCTCCGCACAAGGCACTTGGGCAGCACCAGGACCCCTGCAGCTCACAGGGCCGGCTACCACCCAAAGTGGCTGACAGACACAGACGCGGTCCATGGGCCACAGCCGTTCCTTTGTCACTCCCCTATGCTTGCCATAGTGTTGCTTGGAGAACCTACGGGCAAGAATTACACCAAGCAGCAGCTTCCAGCCTCCATGGCAGGACCCAGCCATGAAGAAGCTTCCGCGGAGACTGGCAGCTGCTCATACACCAGCAGGCCAAACACACAGAGGAGCTAACAAAACTGTGAGCAGCATCTTCTGCAGCTGATCCCTGCCCAAAGACCCCTGTACCACAGTTGGGACATGGAAGGGACCTACACACCTCTCCACACACTGCTTTCCTACCAATAAGGAGCCTGAGTCTCTGAGCGCTGCCAGGTCTGCAGGTGAGAAAGGACCAGGGCGGCAGCCCGAGAGGTGCCAAGATGCTCCCAGGCCTTGCTGGCACTCTTCACGGCATGTGAGGGAGGACAGATCATGCCCACATGGCAGATCTTGTAGTTCCTCCCGTGGTTGTTATCCCAGTGGGTCTTCTGTCCGCACTGGAAGTAGATGCAGAACTCTGCGGCCCTGTGGGAGATGGACGGCTTGGGCAGGGCAAGCTCAAATGAGAAGATGTCTGTGTCAGCCGAGCCGTACGTGCTATGCATGTACTGGCAGGAAATGTCCCGGAAGGTCTTCCAGCCATCGAAGGTGATGCGGACCATCACTTTCTTCTCATACTCAATGTTTCTGACCTTCACTGTCCCTGACAGGGCACGGTCCTGGATCACGCAGTTCTCCAGGCAGACGAGGTTGCTGTGTAGGCAGCTGCGGAAAGTCATGTAGTCCGCAGAGGGCTGTGGGAAGTCCAGCACATACCTGCACACTTCCGGGCGTGAGGCGTGCAGCTTAGGTCGGAAGCAGGCAAGGTCAGACAGGGCATGCTGCAAGTCACAGAGATCCTCCTCAATCTTTGAGAAGAAGCGGACAGCCGTCAGTGAGAGCCCCTTCATGTCAGCAAACACGACTCTCTTCTTCTTCTGGCCCTTGGAGTTCTTGGTGCTATCTCGCCGCTCGGGCTCAGGTTCTGCATTCAACTTCTGGTTGAGACAGGATCGGAGAGGTTTGCGCCCCCGGTTGGCCCGTAGCTCCTCATAGGAATGCAGCAGCTTTTGGATGGGGGGTGAGTGGCCCAGGCAGAGCCGCATGGCCAGGTCCACGGGCATGGCTGGGGGGCCGACAGCCCGTGTGCTATACACCTGGAAAAGCCTAGAGGCGAAGAGCGGGGTCAGGCGGCGTGCCCATG